CACTTTATTATAGTGTAAGGATGAATTTTCCAAGGGATGCCTCAAACAACCTTCCAAAAATCGTCCAAATACATTAAATCTAGGCCATAATCGCCCAAAATTGCGTCCAAGCTGTCTCAGGCACCGTCGACTCCATATTTTCATCATTTTCTGGATTTGGCCGCCGTCAGCACCATTTTGGGTACCTTCGACACCGATCTGTAGTAGCTCTACCGTTTCGCTACGTTCTGTTTTGCCCCATGTCAGTTGCGTTTCATTCCTAACAGTAAGACCTACAAAATAAGCATGAAAACAACTTTTCTTTAAATTGTAATTTTTTAAAAATATGTGAGCAGTGTAAAAGAGATTAATCATAGTAAGACATATCGAAATCTGTCAGGACAGAATTTTCTTTCTTGCTCGTTTTTGCTCCAAATTGCACCATTTTTACTTCTTTTTCTCCATAACTCCATTTATTGTACTTGAAACCAAAAATATATAAAATACCTTTCTTTAAAGTGCAATATCATTGAAAATCACAAAATTTAGGCATTAAAAGCATATGAAAAATTTGAACCTTTTCTTTTTCTTTTCTTTCAAGATCATTTTCAATCCTTTCTTTTTTTTTTCATGTGAGACCTTTTCTTTTTCTTTTCTTTCAAGATCATTTTCAATCCTTTCTTTTTTTTTTCATGTGAGACCTTTTCTTTTTCTTTTCTTTCAAGATCATTTTCAATCCTTTTTTTTTTTTCATGTGAGGATTATTATTTCTGGATAGCCTTTAATGATTTTGAACTTCACTATCCTCTTCTTAAAGTTAAAAAATTTTTACATTCCTTCCCTTTCTAAATTCATATTAGCTTTGAAGATTTTTCATAAAGTCTCATTCTTTTCTTCTTACATGAAACTCTAAGATTCTTAGTACTTCAAAAATGCAATTTTTTTTACTTTAAATAGAAAAAGCTTAGTCTTATCCTTTCATACCAAACGTCTTAACTCTAGAATTATTTTTCATTATTGAAAAATTTTACTTAAGTTTATTATACATTTAGAAACACAAATATAGTTATCTAAGTTAGCCTCTAATACCGAAGGTCATGTCAAATTAAATTTTGAAAATATAGCTAGATGAGAACAAATAAAATTTAGTTTCTTTATTTTAAAAGAAAAATTTCTTCCCCCCAAATTTGAATTTAAAATATTTTACAATTAATTCCAGAAAATGTAGTAGGAAGAAAAATTAACAGTTTAATCTACTTACTACTACAACATCCTATCAAATCCTATCAAATGCATTTACATTCATAAGCAGAATAGAATGACTACAGGAGAAAGTAAATCTAGCCTAAAACATGCTTGCAATAATCTTAAACTAAAAGGAAGTATACTCACTTTAAAATTTTATTTTTCTTCCTACCCTAAACTTGATTTTTAAAATGTGCAACATTTAGTACAGAAGATATAAGTAGGAAGAAAAATTGCTCAAAAATTCTATCTACCACAAATGTTTATCAAAAATATCTACAATTATTTATCAGGATAGAAAACATGTAGTACAAAGTAAATCTAAAATAAACATTCCATAATGAAATTAATTAAACAAACTTCTAACTAACATAACATGTATCAGCATAGTAATATAAAATTGTTCTTCAAGTCCTATATATTACTATAACACAAACACAAACACACATGATAAATGAGGTCAATTCTTACTTTAACTCATTGCATCTCACTAACGTACTTCCAGTTTCTACCAGAATCACTAAACAAATATATTGGGTACTTATAAATGATTTTATTGATTATAATCCCAAAGATAAGATTATCCCTGATACATCAGGTGTCACCATGTCCCATTAATTAAGCACCTCTAACAGTTATAAGGATAGTGTAAATTCATCCATTTGTTACTCATCAAATAGGTTAGCTACTCCTACAAAATGAAAACAACGTCAAAGAAAGGAAGTAACAAAATTGAGATGAAACTGTCACAGATAAATTCATAATGTCTCTTCTAAAACTCAAGTTCAAGTTAGACTTGAGCTGTAGTGGACTCGTCAATCCAACTACTACAAGAGAACATACAAGTCTAACCATAAAAAGAAGTTAAGGAATTATCTCCCTCATGACACATACAAAGATCAAGTCAGAAATAACAATCTAAACATCCACCAATCATCAATCAAAATGATCAATCCACACTAAAGCAAACACAATAAAATAATAAAAATCATGACTCTTAAGAATACTAAATCAAATCACACTGACTCCCATAAAGCGCTTGGTTTAATGTCGCTAGCCCGACAAATGATTCCACCTGGATCAAAATTCCAATTAAGTAATGATTCCACCTGGATCAAATGCCATTTAAGAAATCCTTGATCAATCACCAAATCTTTTCCAGATCTAGGGACTCCTACAAAGCCCTCAAATTAAAATTTTTCTTTCAGCTTTTCCATTTCAGATTGATTCATATTCTTGTTCCTCATATTTCTTTCTAGATCCAATATTCTTCTAGAGGTTTTCTCAATTTTCATATTAATATCATCCTTAAATTTTATAAGAAATGGATCAATATAAGATACTTCACGATCTCCCAATTTTTTTATCGGATTACCTCTAGATTACCTCATTTTTTTATCGGATTACCTCTAGATAATTTAGATTCTGGATTAATTTCTTTTTGGTTACTCTTTTGTTCATTGTTGTCTTTCAATGTAAATGGTAGAGGTGAAGTAAATGGTAGAGGTGATCTTTCCATATTTATCTTAGTTGAGGAAATAAGTTTTTTCTAATTTCGTAGGGATTTTTTCCATTTATCTTTCATTCTCTTTATCATCATTTCTCAACTCAAAGTTCTTTTGAAACATATCCTCCTATTCTCTTATAAGCATTAGTACAATAGTTTCAAATTGCTCATCATTCGTCTCCTTAGGATTTATCCCAGGGTCACTAGGTAAAATCTATGGGGGGTAATTGTTAATTGCATTAATAATTTGCCCCAGTTTGTTTTTATATTCCTTAGTGTGACCTCTTGATTGTCCAACTCACTTATCAATTGAATCACAACCTCTTCTAACAATAATTCCTTCTCTTCTTCCTGTGGGTGGAGTTAAATTGAGGATGATTATTAATTGAGTTAATAATCTACCCCAATTGATTTTCCATATTCCTTATTGCGGTCCCTTGGCACTCCAACTCACTGTCATTTGATTGACAACCTCTTCTAATAAACCTCTTCTAATAAATCCTTCTCTATAAATCCTTCTCTTCATTCTGGGGTTTGAAGTTAAAATTATGAGGAAATTAAATTTCATAATTATAATAGCCATGATTACTCCAATAATATGTCTGATTAAATTGATTATCTTCCTAAAGTTGGTTTTCTCCTCCAAAATTATTATTCTTGTTAAAATTCAAATGATTTTCCCAACCCGGATTGTAATAATCGGAATAATAATTATGTATCTCATGGTCAGTTTCAATCCATTGTTCAAATCCATTGTCCAAATGAATTTATTGTCCAAATGAATTTTCCTCAATCATTGGGGTTCCTTGAGGATATCTTTCTGTATGTTGATCAAACTTCCTCTCAATATCTGCAACTTGAGAAATTAAAATTGTAAGAATATCTTCTTAAGAATTTGCCACTCTCTTGGGATTTACTCTTTCAAAACTACTAGCATTATAATCCAAATCTGAATATTCATCATATCGTTGATCCGCCATTTCTACATTAAATTCATGGAGTATTTTCTAATTCATCATCCTCCTAAAAGTTCTCTCTAAATCAGATTCGTAAAATCCAAGGTCTGCAGCTCCTGAACTACACATACAAATTTAAAGACGTAACTAATATGATAAATATCAAAAATATTTTTGGTATTTTTAATTTTCTTTAAAATAAACACAAAATAATTAAACACATTATATAGTGTTGACCTCACTTTTGGTTGAGGTCTAG